TAGTATCTGTTACTTAATTACCAATGCATTCATTAACTTCATAGTTCAACTTCATTTCTTGACTTTAAAATACCTCAAGACGGTATGGGTGAACTAGACACTTATTCATCCAGTAACTGAAGAGTTCATTTTAATTTATTAATAAAATCTCAAAGGGTAACTGTTAGCTAGCCAACAATGCATCCAGTAACGGAATAGTTCAACTTTATTCCTTATTAAAAATCTCAAAAAGGTACACTGTTACCTTGCCATAATGCATCCAGTAATTTAATTTCTCGATCAAATTTGAAAGGGTAACTGTTAGCTAGTTGCCGATGCATCCAGTAAACTAATAGTTGGGCTTCATTCCCTAATAAAAATCTCAAACGGCGACTGTTACCTAGCCACAATGCTTCAAGTGACTTCAAAGTTTGGTTTTATTAATTAAAACAATACTAAAATAATGTAAATGTTATCGAGCGTATTCCATATAATGTAGTTTCTCATTTGTTCTATTCACGATCCCACTACGCCGAGTAATACATAAGATAGCCACACCGACTATAACAGCAGCCAACACAATGACCCCTGCAACAATGACCCCTACAGCCGCCTCGGGCAAACCCCGACCCTGGCTGGGTAATACAGCATCGGCTGTTGACTGACACACAGCGAAACACGATGACAGAACCACGTCACCGTTAACTAATCCAATCGTGACGTCAATCGCTTCCGTCATATCCCAGCTTGACTTGGATTCAAACCCCGGGCAAACAGATATGATGGTGATGGTGCAGTTGTTGCCTTGTGAACAAAACTTCCCGTTTTTGCAGGAAACGGGGTCGGGTAGGGTGGTGGGTGTACACTGCTGCGCACCTACAGAGCGTGACGTCAGAGCTACACTTTCATCCATGAGATCTGTGGCACTGTCCCCGGGACTTAGCCTGAAGGTGATTTTGTTACCCGGGGCGCGGCATATCCCTCGGGAGATTCTGTTGAAAACAATAATTTAAAATAGAAAGCAATAGAAATATTTTCAGCATTATTTAAGTATATTATAAAGTAATTTAGAATAAGAAAATTAGAAAAAAAAATTATCAGTTAATATCTCTCCGAATGTTTTTTTCAAGCGTATTCGTATCTCGGAATATTTACTAGCATGGAACTAGGCCTGAGCCTAACCTCTATGTATGACAGCATTCGCAATCCTAGCAGTCATTTCTATAATGACCTAAGTTGAGATAGACGGCAGAAATCGTTATTGATATAATGTGTAAAACGGTGCATTTAATCAAGATTTATATTTATAAAAAATACAAATTCCAAATAATTCCCTATATAATATTGTAAAAAAGTAAAGAATAGTAATTATTTCAGGTGACTCATTTGGCAGCTGAATTAGTGTACATATGTTCATTGACCTCGGCATATTTTGGGATCTTGTGGTCAGCACTTTTCCCAGCCGCCTTTAGTTTCCCTAACATGCGTTAGGAAAGTCCTACTGACTTGGACCCGGATTCGAACTCGAATTTTCCGGATAAGCAGCCCAGCGCTCTAGCGCTTGGGCCACGTCGTCCCACAGTAATCAAAGTAGATTTGACTAAATCATACAACATATAAACTAGGATGTGTTTTAAATAAGATCATCAATATCCCGCAAAAACGATCAAGTATATCGCAGTCAAGTCTGTATGCAAATAGTTTATTGTCTAAAATTCTAAAATCTATTAAAAGTACGCAAAGCTAATTACACGCTAATTTTTTTTTTTGAATATGATCTCCCGTAAACTTTCTCGAATATTAATTATAAAACACAACAGGGGAAGCAAAATCGAGATATAAACATGACTTTTAATCAATTTTAACTACTGAAACTTTTTAAAATACAATCTAATTACCAAGAAAAAAAAATTGCGCACCAAATAAACAGCAAACAAAGTGTGGAAAATAGTGTGAAATATTAGTAGGCCCTACTTAATAAATTCATATTCTTTTTTTTTTGAGGAATCGGAAATAGCATAAATTACTACTTCCGGTCAACGGAAATTACTCAAAACTTGAGAGCAGGTAGATACTTAATCATTTTACTCATTTGTGAAATGTCGACTATCTGTTGAAACAGTACTCAAGTTACAGGCTTTTGAAAAACCAAAAGTAGAAGTTCATTTACGTTGACTGGAAATCGCTAAAAAGTTGATACAGAACTACACATTTAATATAATACTTATATAGGAAATGTTATCAACATAGCTGTAACAGTACTCAAGTTATCATGCTCACAGACACACACAGACACACACATACACACACACATACACACACACACACATATATACGAACAAAATTGCAAAACTATATTTTTCCAACTAGGTTACAATACTTCCTGTATACTTTGTATACGAGAAATAAAAGAATGGAAACATATTAAAGTCCATTTAAAGCCATTATGTGATAGATTGTATCTGTATGTATGTCATAACTCACGTGTTTTCCCACTTGTCCTCGATACGGATGTCACGTGACTCAGGCGGACTGACAGACGCCGGACTCGCCAGATGAATGGTGAGGTGAGGTCGAGGGAATGACGTCACCAGAACGGCTTGACCAATGAGCAGGACCAAGTCGATTAAAGCCATTGTTTCAAATGTTCTATCTAAAACAAATTTAAAAAAACCGAATAAAATATACTGAATGTTTCACTATTTATGTACTGAATATTTCACTATTTATGAACTGAATAATTCACTAATTATATACTGAATTTTTGACTATTTATGTACTGAATATTTCACTATTTTTGAACTGAATAATTCACTAATTATTATACTGAATATTTGACTAATTATGTACTGAATATTTCACTATTTATGAACTGAATAATTCACTAATTACATGCTAAATATTCTCTAATACTGAAATCGAATTAACGTGTGTAAAGTCAACAGTAACACCACTCGCATACTAACCTAAACTCCACATGAATAAATGATACAATACAGACTAACAGAGACTCGATAAAACAGTGATAAAAAAGAGGCTTCAAATTTCGATCTGTTCGATGTTTTATATCGTGTACTCTACGTTTGTCTATCAAGACCCTATCAGGCAATTCATCAAGCCGAGTTGTTTTGTTTTTGTCGGGTAATCACTCAAGCGCGAAGTTGTTTACCTGTTATTTGACCTTTTAAAATTTACATTGTGCAACTTATTAACTCTGTAATTTTAATGTGCAACTGAAAGTGCAGTGAAATTGTTTACACAAATTGCTAATTTCTTTGTTAAAAAATTCGTTCGGTGTTGTAAAAACTGTAATAATTATTATATTTTTTCAAGAGCAATGATTCGCGAAATAATCTTACTATTTTACCATAGTTTTATTTTACATTGTTTATCTAGTTTCAGCGTTCATTAATTTACTTGATATTTTACTGATCCGTAAACCTTTGCAGTACTAAAATAATTTCATGATGTTTCAGTTTAAGTCTTAAAATAAACACAACATTTTAAACAAACCTAATGTTTTAACGAGAGTCCTACATAAAAAGTTGGATTAGCACCTACATAAACAGGTGGATTAGCACCAGGAAGTGCTCAGCGCTAAGACTTTATACTAAACCTACGCGCCGCGCGGAGAGTAATAGGCGCCTACTCGAGTTCTACTTCCCCACATTTCAGCCTATCGCAGCGTCGGTTATCCATTGACACGACCAACAGCTCAAGATTTGATGTAGACATGGACTCGTGTCTCGCACAGTGTTTAGTATTTTTTTTCCAGGCATCTCTTCAAAGAGAGTCTACCCCCCCCCCACCCCCACGGAACAAAATGGAATTTATATTTTTAACAGTGTGTGCCACCCCACCCGCGGAAATTGTTGTCCGCCCACCGAAATTGTCCGCCCCCAGGAAATTTTAGTTCCCCCCCCCCCCCCCCGAAAATTTCAAACGATAACTAATAGTATAGTAAACAACCAATGCCATCTCATAATTTCATAAATCGATCAACAAGAATTTGTAAACTAACCTGCTATGTACAGATCCCCTTCCATATGACCTGCAATATATTGACATACATCTACCTGCCACTTCCAAATGAGATGTCAAACAAATCGTGTCGAAATTGTTTCGGAGGTCAGTTTGCGCCTTACAGGTAAAAGTTCACGCCTGCGCAGGACTAACGTGTACACTACACGAGTGGTTGGTCAGTAACGTTTCTTTCTATTTATAGAACTAGCTGGCCGAAGTGTTTGCTCGAGTGACCTGAGCACGGTGGGCGGGGCAAATCGTCACAGTAATGAATGGCGGGAACGAATTACGCCCGTTTGCAAAATTGCGGTATTTATTAGAAGTTATTATACACCAATGCTAACCTTCGGTATTGTAATAATACTCCATGTTTACATTTGTAAAATCATTACCAGTATCTGCATCCAAACCCCTTATTTCTAACATTATTTTGGCCAAGGAGACACTATATAAATATACAAAAATAATTTAAAAAAAAAAAAGAGCTCACATAGTAATCATATGTAATCGTTATTCTATAGTAGTCGATATGATTTAAGCATTTCCAAAAAAGGTAAAGTTTTAAACAGAGAGGTAAGTCTCGGATAATGTACGTGTGGCTGTGAGGGTATATATACGATGTGCAATGTCAAAAAGGAATTAATGGCTCTTACAATACTTACATGTAAAGCATAGTAGCGGGTTCAATTGAATAATTCAGCTGCTTTTAACAGACATGCATCCTATCCTTAATGCTTGAAATGTCAATCTGTCCAATAAAATGTGGTATCCAGGGGTCAGATCGTCACGACGTATAGGTCATTTGGGTTTGTTGGATTCAATATGGACCGCGGTCACTATCCTGTAGCACAACTATTGTACATTACAGATGATTACACACTGATGTAGTACTGTTTTTTTTCTTTTTCATTTTTGTTTAAATTTTAAACCACAGGCTAGGAATAGTTTTTTCAGACTACTTTGCGTTTAAAAAACATATTGATTATGGTCGGATTGTGGCTGCTTGTATGGCCTGTAAATACGTTGAAATCGTTCTAGATGGTAAAATCTATGTGCTGACAAAACTTATAGTGATTGAACGCTATGCAAATCATTTTACATAATTATTACATGTGTTATATTTTGCTACATATTTCAATTGAAAACGAGAAGATGCAATCCTATTGCATTCCGTACAATGCGAGCGTATGTAAAAATACCGGCGGTACGTAGGCCTATTGCCCGACTTTGAATTAACAATAATTACAAACATGCCTTTTGTGTGTGTTTTACCAACATTTTATAAGTTTTCACATTCCAATCTATTGCTTTCTTTTCTTCGTATATTTTTTTTAAAAAATCGTCGGTAAATGGAAAGAGTAGTCTCGCTCAGGGGAAAACAGAGAGAAAAATACCGTCTAACTCAAGACGCTAAAGTTCCTTCCCTTTATTTTGGGCACTTAAAAACCAACGCTCTTTTTATGTTTGTAGGCCTATACATTTATTTAATTTGCAAAAAAAAAAAAAAAAAAAAAAAAAAAAAAAATTGATTTTTAAAAATTAATAAAAAAAAAGGAGGAAAAGAAACAGAAATATAAAAAAGATAAAAAGTAAAAATATTGGACGCAGCAATATCATGTCGGAAACGTGAATTAAGGATAGGCCTATACTTTGAAAACAAATACGGAGGTAAGTAAAGCTGGATAAAGAAAGACATTAAATGAAAAACTAATTATCACTTTAAATTTAAAGAGCATTTGATCCCAAGAAAATAAAAATGAAAATTGGATGCCAAAGTGTTGAATACTTTAATACTGATTCAAATAAAACCAGTTATTTTTCCTGATACCTTATTGCGGCAACATAAATCGGACACTATCGGCACACACATGTCTTCAGATTCACCAGGGTACCTTTCATGTTGGGACGTGGAAACCATCTAACAGCTTTGGGTTCGCAGTATTAAAAAACATTTCTACAACCATCTCTTACAAAATAATCAAGGAGTTGTCGGTATAATTTGGTTCACGGGTTCTCAAAATTTTGTTCAGTGGCGAGCCCTTTTTACACAGACAACTGAGCCGTTATTAAATCAATAATACATTATTTAAGGGCCATAACAACATGCTCAGACATTTTTAATAAACTTTCAGGTAGCTTACATTGGGGTGGGGGGAGCATTTGAAGACTCTCGGGAAATACTTTAAATCATTTTTTTCCATTGTGTCCACCTTCAGAAAGCTGAAAGCCCTAATACTAGCCCTAGCCTTTTTAAGTCCATCAAGTTGTGCATTCGATTGCCCCTCTAGTCATCCGGCCTTTGTCAAAGTGAAACAACTTCATATGCCGCTTGCATGTTGTTGTGGACACTCGTGAAAAAGTTATCAATTATTATTTTTAAACATTTCATGTCCGTGTATCAGACCATATGGTAGCAGAATCATACGTTTGTTTAAAGTGTTAATTATATAGACGCAGAACTATCTACCCAGTGAATGTATTCCTTTAACACGGTGAGATAGCTGTAGATAGATCAACATGAGTATCAAAATTATCTTACCTCATATGTATATACGTGTATATAATAGTAGACGCTTACAATTCTTAACGCTGACGTTAAGTTTATTTTTTAAAATGAGTAACGAATCATGTTTATTACTAACGATCCCATGTGCAGATGAAGTAGAGTTCGCATTTCTTGATCTCGGCATACGAAGAGAAGGTATGGTCAGCACTTTACTTTCCTTAAGATGAGTTAGGTACCCATCAAAGCTGGGTAGACACATGGGCGTTCTATTGACTTGGACCCGAATTCGAACTCAAGATTTTCGAATTAGCAGTTTAGCGCTCTACCGCTTAGGCCACGCCATTCCGCTGCCATTTAGTATAAATAAGCATAAATTTAACACACAATAAAAAAGTATACAGTAACAACGGTTAAAATATTTTTATTTGTTTAAAATGTTAACCGCCCACGGTGTTCTGAATGTATTAACCGCCACCAGGTTTCAGGAAGTAGGTTCTGTCGCCGGCACGTCGTACCTTTCCGGCACCCGATCCATCATTGTCTGACACGGGTTCCAAACGTCCGTTAACTTGGTCTCCTTCAAGATCAGCCACCTGCAACATTAACATGCACTACTATAACTTAATTACTTACAGCTTTTATTATCGTGATGTAGATTTCCCTGAGCCCATCACTGATGGGTATCTAACTCACGTTAGGGGAACGAATGGGGCAGGGCATAGTTTTGACCACACTATCACTTCATATGTCGTGGTCTCTGAAACAGATGAACTCTACTTCATCTGCCCCATGAGTCTTGGGCACGAAAGGGAAAAAATGATGATTTACTCTATTTATGTATCTGATAAATGAATAAGCCGTAGTTCTAACAATTAATGTTTGTTTTGTGCTAACCTAAAGTTATAAGTATAGTTTACATACCTTGAGTTCAGCGTATGCAACTGAACAAAGCACTGTCAGGCAGAGCAGTAGGAATACCCACTTCATGTTTACTGAAAAAAATAGTAATACCCACTTCATGTTTACTGAAAAAAATAGTAATACCCACTTCATGTTTACTGAAATAAAATTGAACTTATATAGATGGTGTTAATGAAGGATTTTTTAAAAAATCAGAAACCAAGATCTAGAGTCTAAGTTTCTTGGGCAAATATCAACCTACAATAATCCAATTAGCACATTTGTTTTTATAGCATACAATGGTGTGTTTAAATTGGGTTTAGTTTATTAAAACCCCGTCTCAAAAACCCCACGATCTTTATATGGGAAAGGCGTGGACATAAAAAGGGGGGGGGGGAGGGTATGACTCGAGATCCTTTTAAATTGAAGATAATAGATCCGTGATACCTTTTATAAAAGAAAAGTATCGCAAGTTTCTCTACGTGTTAAAAGCTAACAGTTCAGAATAAATATCAGCATAGATGTATATGATACATTCATATCAGCGACCGTGTGTACGTCACTTACAATGTTCCCTCTAAGGACCAAGAGTGTGTGTGCAAAAAATATGTTGTGTGCGCGGTGCTAAAAATGACTTGGGCAACTTTATATGTATGTTTAGGCTTACAATTAAGCAGAGTAATGAAGGCATGCATTTTGATATAAATTAATAGTATAATGTGTAGGACTAGTGAAACGTATGCAATTAAAAGAAGATACGAATCCCATCAACATAAAATAAAATACACAACAGAAACTTTCAGAGTTATACTTAGACAACATGTTATATGATCGACTTACTATGTTAGTGTAATGCAATCATATGTTAATAATGTTAATACCATAACGGTAATACAAATACAACAGTTTAACATGTTAACCATTTTAAAAAGCTGACTTGAAAACAAAATTAGCTAACCTTTCAGGGGCATTTATTGCAATTTCTCGCGTCTAACCTTGCCTTGCTTCCACACCTTATATGCTTTGTTTAAAACCTCATCCTCTCCAGCATTTAGATATAATTTAATTCGCATTAGATTCTCCAAATGTGTGACTTCAAGTCTATTTCGTGCTTGCACTTTAATGCTGTTCAGAAGAATAAAACCTCGCTCGCAATCAGAGCTGGATGCTTGAAAAGTACAGCATAGGTCAATTTACTTTGCCAATGAGCTAAATTGTTCATCGTTTATTAAAGTAACTCCTGCGATTTCAGTTAGTGAATTTACTGAACCTGATTTGAGTTTTTCACTGATCTGAAATTTGAAGTCATTGTATTGCGTGATAAATGACTCTTCATTTGTTGTTTGTAACAAGTCTTTGCACTTAACGCACAGTTGTTTGATCTCTTTGACGCCAAATTCAAATGCACAATTTTTTTAAACCAGTATGATCAAAAGCTGACCAAATCTGCAATTCATCTCATGGAAACCTTACATTTAAATGATCGCAGACTGATCGTATAAACTGGGTGATTTGTCTTGTGTCGATTCCTACGTTTTCATTCAAAATTTTCTTGGCATTATCATTCCAATATACATCTTCACTCAGGTATTGTGCTTCTAATTTGCGTATTTTAGAAATGCAAAATTGATGTGCTTCAATAGATGATAAATTACTTCGCTGCAACAACATTGATAGATTAGCTAATTCAGTTAATACATCATTAACGGTATAAAGCGCAACTTGATACAGGGGATCTCTTAATGATCTCAAAACATAACAACAAACAGGATCATTGCAGTCTTGGACTTGTTCTTCACAGTAGGCAGCTAAAACATCAAGATTTCTAACCAAAGCACTGACAGCAAAGTGACGTGACAACCAACGAACTTCATGAATTGGTCGAAAAGAAATTACATCCATATCATGCACCTTGGCCAATTCTTTAAGTGCGCCCTTTTTAACTGAAGATCGACTAAATAAGGTGTAAACCGTGCGTAAGAGAACCTCAATATTTTTAAACAAATTAACATCTTTCCAAGCGTCAGAAAGTGTCAAGTCTTATCGATGACAACACAGTGCTGTTCAACAAGATGGGGGACCTTAGCCTTCAGTAAAGCAGCTAATCCCTTCCTACGGCCTAACATAACCGATGCCCCGTCTGATGTTATCATTACCATGCGGTTCATATCAAGTTGATGTTCAGTGTAGTACTGTGTTATGGCTGCCTCCAGAGCTGAGGCATCACATGCGGTAAGCTGAATTATCCCACCAAAAACGATTTTGTAGAATAAAGAATTGACTGGACGAAATTTAAAATAAAGGATTAGCATTTTATATATTGTTATGTCAGTACTTTTATCAACTCTAAGCGTGTGGAACGATGCTACTCGAAGTTCTGCCAACTGTCTGGTATAGAAACATACTTCACCATGTGTTTATGAATCAGTTGTACCGACAGCATCGAGGCGTTCATCCTAATGGCGAGAAGAACATTATCCATTAGGATTCGAACTTGATCCTCGTTTGACCGCTGGCGCTCATTTTGTTCAATTCGTTCTTCTCGCTCATTGTTAGTTTCAACCAGCAGACTTTTAAGGCCAGTCCCATTTGAGCGGGTGTACAAAATCGCAACATTTTCTTCGTGAACACGAGACAAATGACGTTTACAGTAGTCAAGCTTCCATGATTCCCAACGCTTTCCTGTGACAAATTCGTTGTCTTTGTTGGTTTTGTTACAAGTATTAGCAGCACAGAACTTACACTTCAGTCCAATCTCATCTAAATATTCATAGATGCTTCTTAATTCAACTGAATCATTCTTTGAATCTGGCGTATCGGTTATTACTTTAACTTTGAGCCATTCCAGTTCAAACGAATCTCTCGCTTTTTTTTTTGCTGCATTGTTTTAACGCTTGTTACACACATTTTTCTTTTCAACATGTTCAAATAGCACAGAGTAGTAAACTTTTATTCCTTATTTACTAAACCAGTCTGTGAATACTGAAACAGTTCGATCCAGGTGCACGTAATAATCACAAGAATTGGATATACAGTATATAAATCCTTAAACCAAACAGAGTAAAACACATCCACCTTAAGTAACCTAGAATTTGCATCTGACTTGGATAAACCGTCATAGTATCAAGGAGGTGGGTGGGGTTGGAAGATGGGGGAGGGCAGTGACAATAGAAAATAAAACCTTGCATAGTCAGCTACTAGCCACAATCCCTTTTACGGTCAGTTTTGGGGTAAACCATTAAATCAAACAGAGGGAGTGTCACCCAGACATCACATCGGTACCCGCCCCGCTCAATTGAGAGTTAAGCCGTTAACTAGACCTGTGGTATGACAACCGAGGTCACCCCCTCCCCCAGGGGTCACAAGCTTTAAGTATCAGTTTGGTCGAGGCCCCAAAACACAAAGACTGTTCGTTTAACAAAACAGGTACTAAAAATGTCGCTTAATTCAAGCCACTGACCACAATTTTTTTTAGTGAATCAGGCTTGCCCGACGTTCTGATAATCTGTGCGCGGCATCAGAAAATGACTACGCGGCACATTTGAAAGTGCTGCGCGGCCGCGCAGCCGCGCAGCTTAGAGGGAACACTGGTCACTTAAGCCCATGCAGGTGGAAGGCGTTTTTGAATTGTGACGATATGTGACACGGGTGAGGAAAAGGTGGGGAGGGGGAGGGGGGGTAGAAAAAGTGAAGTAACACATTTGTAATATAAAATTTGTTGTCTGAAACTGTCATGAGCAAAATACATTTCGGTTTTTTTTTAAGTCAGCCTTGGTAGGAGGGTGGGTGAGTTGAAGTGTGATGCTATTTTAGCCCAAGTTCTAAACCTGGGTTCAATCCAACCTCAGGGGTTGGTGAGTCAGTTTCAGGGGTTGGTGAGTAAGTTTCAGGGGTTGGTGAGTCAGTTTCATGGGTTGGTGAGTCAGTTTCAGGGGTTGGTGAGTCAGTTTCAGGGGTTGATGAGTCAGTTTCAGGGGTTGATGAGTCAGTTTCAGGGGTTCGACGGAGGTCAAGACACACACGACTCACATGATCGATTTTGACAGTGCAGACGATGACAGTGTTTAGTGAATGCGTGTATGAAACTGAAGGGGTTCAGTACGTTCAAAAAGGTTGAGAACCACTGTTTTAGCCGATGATGTTCTGACGATTTTCTGCTATTGACGATTGGTACTTTTGTTAAATGGTTACATAAGCCTGGTAACTCTTAACCTAACTTTTGTTTACAAACTGTTCAGTTTCTTTCCGGCATCTCTTCGGGGAGGAGGGGGGAGGGGGGGGGGGGAGAACGTTTACCGTCCTAACTTAAGAAATATAATTTATATGGAAAATATATATTTTTACCAGTGTCCGTCTTTTCCCACGGAAAGTGCCCCTTTACCCCCCCCCCCCCCCACGGAGAAAAAAAAACCTGAAAGAAACATTAAAATTATATCAATCTAATGGTATATGCTAACTACTTAAAATTTCTTCGAGGTGAAAATAAAAACAATATCTTTATAGAAACATTATGTTAATTAGTTCAACACCATACATCGTTAAGTTAATGTAAGCTGCTTTTTGTTTTAAGTTTATTAGAACAAATACCAGGCACTAAACAAATAGTTTAATATGAACAAAAATGAGCTGGCGTTGAAACATACACTGGAACATTTTGAATTTACATTAAAAGAAAGATTATGTTTATTTGCGGAAAAATATAAAGTAGGGCGTACGTACCCCCCCCTCTCTCCACACAGTGATACGAAGCAGCCTGTTGAGTTATGAACAAGTCTTGACATCAACATAGCAGGCATTAGCACAATAGGAACAACGCGCCGATCTTATAAACTAAAAACGATTGTTAACAATTAAACATACTTACTTTCACAAACTGGTTGCTACAAGGTGATACAGATAATTTCTTTCTCGAAGAATTTTGGTATGCGAATGGACAGGTAAGGCATAGCTTTTATAGGCAAGGCGTCTTTTCAAGATATTCGATACTACCCTGATGAATATTATTTGAATAATTTTCATTTGAGCGTGTATTCATGCTTTTCATGTATAAAAATGTTTGATTTTTTTGCAAGAATTGGCTTGTATTGATATT